TGGTTTATTCCAGACAACCACTCTTCAGCCATACACTTACTTCGGCCGAAGAGTAACAAGAGTTGGTTTATTCCAGACAACCACTCTTCAGCCATACACTTACTTCGGCCGAAGAGTAACAAGAGTTGGTTTATTCCAGACAACCACTCTTCAGCCATACACTTACTTCGGCCGAAGAGTAACAAGAGTTGGTTTATTCCAGACAACCACTCTTCAGCCATACACTTACTTCGGCCGAAGAGTAACAAGAGTTGGTTTATTCCAGACAACCACTCTTCAGCCATACACTTACTTCGGCCGAAGAGTAACAAGAGTTGGTTTATTCCAGACAACCACTCTTCAGCCATACACTTACTTCGGCCGAAGAGTAACAAGAGTTGGTTTATTCCAGACAACCACTCTTCAGCCATACACTTACTTCGGCCGAAGAGTAACAAGAGTTGGTTTATTCCAGACAACCACTCTTCAGCCATACACTTACTTCGGCCGAAGAGTAACAAGAGTTGGTTTATTCCAGACAACCACTCTTCAGCCATACACTTACTTCGGCCGAAGAGTAACAAGAGTTGGTTTATTCCAGACAACCACTCTTCAGCCATACACTTACTTCGGCCGAAGAGTAACAAGAGTTGGTTTATTCCAGACAACCACTCTTCAGCCATACACTTACTTCGGCCGAAGAGTAACAAGAGTTGGTTTATTCCAGACAACCACTCTTCAGCCATACACTTACTTCGGCCGAAGAGTAACAAGAGTTGGTTTATTCCAGACAACCACTCTTCAGCCATACACTTACTTCGGCCGAAGAGTAACAAGAGTTGGTTTATTCCAGACAACCACTCTTCAGCCATACACTTACTTCGGCCGAAGAGTAACAAGAGTTGGTTTATTCCAGACAACCACTCTTCAGCCATACACTTACTTCGGCCGAAGAGTAACAAGAGTTGGTTTATTCCAGACAACCACTCTTCAGCCATACACTTACTTCGGCCGAAGAGTAACAAGAGTTGGTTTATTCCAGACAACCACTCTTCAGCCATACACTTACTTCGGCCGAAGAGTAACAAGAGTTGGTTTATTCCAGACAACCACTCTTCAGCCATACACTTACTTCGGCCGAAGAGTAACAAGAGTTGGTTTATTCCAGACAACCACTCTTCAGCCATACACTTACTTCGGCCGAAGAGTAACAAGAGTTGGTTTATTCCAGACAACCACTCTTCAGCCATACACTTACTTCGGCCGAAGAGTAACAAGAGTTGGTTTATTCCAGACAACCACTCTTCAGCCATACACTTACTTCGGCCGAAGAGTAACAAGAGTTGGTTTATTCCAGACAACCACTCTTCAGCCATACACTTACTTCGGCCGAAGAGTAACAAGAGTTGGTTTATTCCAGACAACCACTCTTCAGCCATACACTTACTTCGGCCGAAGAGTAACAAGAGTTGGTTTATTCCAGACAACCACTCTTCAGCCATACACTTACTTCGGCCGAAGAGTAACAAGAGTTGGTTTATTCCAGACAACCACTCTTCAGCCATACACTTACTTCGGCCGAAGAGTAACAAGAGTTGGTTTATTCCAGACAACCACTCTTCAGCCATACACTTACTTCGGCCGAAGAGTAACAAGAGTTGGTTTATTCCAGACAACCACTCTTCAGCCATACACTTACTTCGGCCGAAGAGTAACAAGAGTTGGTTTATTCCAGACAACCACTCTTCAGCCATACACTTACTTCGGCCGAAGAGTAACAAGAGTTGGTTTATTCCAGACAACCACTCTTCAGCCATACACTTACTTCGGCCGAAGAGTAACAAGAGTTGGTTGGTTTCCTACTGGTAGGCCTCTTTTATATTAAAGAGACGCTAGATTGGTGGGGCAGTCTCCAATCTGGTTGAATGTCTCCCAGTAGCGACTGTTGTAAGATCTGAGGGTCTCTTTTTCACCCATGTCGATGGAGAGTAACTGGTCTATCTCCACCGGTGTTTTAGTGTTTGTTCGAAACCTCGTTACGAACGCTTCTGCCAATTGGGCCCAGGAGGCTATGCTGCCCTCTGGGAGCTTTTCGAACCAAGTCAAGCCTAGGTCGCCCAGACTTGACGGGAAGAGTATGCACATTAAGGCCTCGTTTCGCCTGTACACAGCCATGACTTGGCGAAAGTGGCTTAGGTGTGAATATGGGTCCGTCTTCCCTTCATATGTATTGAATTTCGGCTGAAGGAAGCCTGATGGCAGGGGCGCGTTTTCGATCGCTGGGACAAACGGCAAAGTCTGTAGTCTTGCCAATGCCTTGTCCGTAGGTTCGTAGGCCGGTCGCGGTATTGGCATTCCAACCTCGACGCTTCCATGCGTCCGAGGAGCCAACCGCTGCAAGGCTGAAATTCTATGTGGATCCCTTGCCCTGGCATCCTCCTTGCATCGTGCTTTCTCTTCGAGCACGGTTCGTAAGTCGGATGATCTAAGTAATTCTGTCTGTCTAGATCTAGTTTGGTGCGAATGTGAAGGCCAATATGTGCTTCCTTCAGTGTATGACCTTTCAGATCTCGTTTTCTCAAACCTGGAGTGACGAGTTCTGGAAGACCAGGATTGAGTGTCGCCTGTCCTGAGGCTTCTGCTCTCTCCTTGCGAGGGTGTAGTATTCCTACTACGATTTTCTAAGTGGCGAGGGGGCGTCTTGTTTTTGCGCCCCTCTCCTGTCGCCACTTCTTTTTTCTTCATCTGGCGGTTCAAGGCTTCCATGTCCGCCGCCATCTTCTTTATCAATTCATCTTGCTCTTTCACGCAATCTTCCAGAGCTTGACGGTCAATCCTCCGTCTTTGTCTGTCGGGACTTTGAGAATGGGATTGACGGGGCTGTGAGTCCGTCTCCCCCTAGCATTCTTTCTGGAGGTATGTCTTTGGGGCTCCAAGTCTGCCATGGGAGGGACAGAAAGTAATCCTTCACGCCTTGCGCCCCCTTCTGGAGTTAGTCCGTCGACGGCGGACTGCGGCAAGTCTTCAATGTGTGCCATTGATTGTAAAGGGGAGAAGCTTTAATTAAGAGGTTTTGTTCTGTCTGGTCTTCCCACAGACGGCGTCAATTGTACGGGGAAGAAATAATTCTCCTCGTATAATCCTGTTGACTAAGTCCACGCTCCTTCGTACGACGTCGCTTTGTCACCTGAAAACACAAACGTGAGCTAGCCGGCGGGTGTGTGCCGGAAACCTCTCCGATGCCTAAGTCAGATAACTTGACAAATAGACAAAGCTCAATGTATTCAGGAAGCAAAATTGTATGTGGGGTTCTGTTACCTTCTTCCAAGGTGATGCTTGTGAGCTTTTATAGGTTTTGAGTGACCCAATCCTAGTAGGACTTTTATTTTTCCATGCAGAGTCCTCTTAGGATTCATACTCCTAAAGGATAATGCTTATCCTTTTACACCCCCCCACTGCTTAAACCAAGTGGGATGGTTTTTACTATGGCCGAACTACCACATGACCGAAATAATACTAGCTATATCGAGCCACGGAGTAGGCCGTACTAACAGTAGTTCGGTTCTTCTTCTTGCTACATCATATTTCGGTTCTCTCATGCACGAACCATGATGTGGTTGGACTGATCTACCGAGTAGCAACATTCCGACCGACCTACCCAGAATACATCATGGCTGGACTATCTCCGAGACCGGCCTTACTAGAAAAGTTGTACGGACCGAAGTAACTCAACATCTCTTCTAGGCCGAAGTAACTTTACCATTCTTGAACCGGAGTAACTTTCTTACTCTTGGACCGGAATAACTTTTACATTTCCATTGGGCCTTTTTATCCAGTCCTTCGTACTTTGGGTCGTAAAGCCCATCTCACAGCTCGGCCCAATTTTTACCAAAAATTACCCTCTCAAATATAATAGATCCTACTGTTAGATCCAATTATAATAGAGGAAAGTGCCACATGTCATTTACCCTACCCAAAAAATTCATAATTAAATACACTTATAATGACACGATAATGAAGTAGAGCTCCACATTATTGAATGTGATAAATCAAAAGGTAACAACCCCACCATTCCACATTATTATAGGTGAAATTATGAGAATTTTTTTGGGTCTCAAACATTTCTTAAATTATTTTTTTTCCAAAATAGGATGTTTCATAATTTTTTGAAAATGCATTTAAATGCTTCCTATTATGTTTTTAATTTAATGATTTAAAGACTTCCTATATTTTTATTTATTTTTTATATAATTCATGAGACTAAACTATCAATTGGTCCTAATAGTTAAACTTAATTTTCAATACTTTGTTTGGTGATTATATATTTTAGCTAAAAAGTCACTATAAGTTATCACATCAATCTATCTAATTGTTTGCATGTATTTTTATAAAAAACAAAAAAATTATTAAAATAGCTTATTCTCAAACGAAATTAAAAGTTAGTCATAGTAAAATCATCATTAAAAATAATTTTTCATGATGAAATTTTGCATATATCGCTAAACATTAACAATTAAGCCTTCGTTTGGCATAAATTAAAATTGGGCTTTTTGGCTAAAATAGTCATAAAAAGACAAAAAAGACTTTTTAGTTTAATAAGATAAAATATCACATCCAAATTATAATAATTTTATTTTTTTTCCTCACAAAAGCCAAAAAAGCCAAAGAGCATATTTCAAACGAGACCTTTTAGCCCAAGATTAAAATAGTCAAAAAAATCAACCCACATCTAAACGAATCCTAATAAAGTTTTTTTGTATCGAATTTTTTAAATTGTGAATAAAAGTTAAAAATTAATGTCTTTTTTTGTGACAATTTTTTTAACTATATCTAAAATTTATAATTAATGATATTTTTATAACAAAATTTTTAAATTACCACTAAAAATTAATAATTAATAACTTTTTAATAATATTTAATAAAAAAAATTATCAATTATCACAAAACCTATTAAATAATAAACATATATTAGCACCTTGTCAAATTTTTATAGTCCTGAATATGAGCCGTTAAACGAATTTATGCCTATAAGAAGGCAGCTCTCAACCTATCCATGGAGTCCTCACTTCTCACTCACTGATTAAAACAAAGTCTCTGTCGCATAAACCACTCGATTCTCCCTCTTTCAAAACCAAGACCCAAAAAGAATCGAATCAGAAGTGGAATACAGTGAATTGGAGTTCCCTCCTCCTTTAAACACAGAGCAAAAAAAGAGGAATTTCAAAGCCATAGAAAGCGAAAGCTTATCTATCTATTTGTTTATATATATATATATATATATGCGTGTGTAGTCGAATCGGATCAAAAAGCGGTGCTTTCTTGCTACTCTGAGTCCTTGAGAAATATAATAACCATTTCGAAAAAACAAGCTCTGAAAATTTCCCTGCTTTTGAGGCCTCTCTCGCCGCCTCTGAGGGTTCATCACTTACTTTTGTCTGCAGAGAAATCTGGGTTTGTGTTTAATCCGCATTTAAAGTGGGAAATCTTGTAGCTGTGATTCATTCAGATTTTCTAGTTGAAGAAATTAATTCTCTCTCTCTCTCTCTCTCTCTCTCTTTCTAGTTCTGCCAAATCTGTAAAATTCCTATCAGTGCTTTTGCTATATCTCATTCAATACCCATCTTGTTTTTGCTTTCTTTGCTTCCAAAAACAAAATAAAAAGTGATCTGGGTTACGGAAAGAGACGTCTCAAAGAAAGGTATATGAGAGAAAGTGGTACTGGGTTTTTTTTTATTGTTCTTTGTTTTTGTTTTTTGTATTGTTTTTGGATCTGGGTTTCGTTTTCTGGGGAAGAGCAGAGTGTTTTTTTTTAATATTTTTTTTAGTGTTTTTGGTGTCCCATTGAGTGTCTTTTTTTGTTGCTTCAGATCTGCCAGAAATTTTAGAGCAAATCGAAGACAATGTTGCCTCAGAAGCAAGCAGAGGAAGCCATAGTCTCCAACCCCAACAACGAGACAGAACATGATGGTGCCAAGGAAGAAGACAACAGGCATGAAGAAGACCAGTCCATTTTCCGTGTCAAGAACCTCCTCTGGCACGGCGGTTCTGCTTGGGACGCTTGGTTTAGCTGTGCTTCCAATCAAGTATATATCTCATCAAATCAAATCAAACCCAAATTTTTTTATTTTTATTTTATTTTTCACATTTATGCAATACCCATTTCTAGAATCTTGTGATTTTTGCTTTGATTTGATTGAATTTTTGTCATGATCGTTTCAGGTAGCTCAAGTTCTGTTGACATTGCCCTACTCGTTCTCTCAGCTGGGTATGCTCTCTGGAATTCTGTTTCAGGTTTTCTATGGTCTTGTTGGTAGCTGGACAGCTTACCTCATCAGTGTTCTGTACATTGAGTACAGAACTAGAAAGGAGAAAGAAAATGTTAATTTCAAGAACCATGTCATTCAGGTTGGATTTCCTTCTCACCACCACCACACAACCACCACCCACCACCACCACTGAACCCATTTTTAATTGTTGTGAGCTGCAGTGGTTTGAAGTGCTAGATGGGTTGTTGGGTCCTTACTGGAAAGCAGTGGGTCTTGCCTTCAACTGTACTTTTCTTTTATTTGGATCTGTAATACAGCTTATTGCATGTGCAAGGTAAGGCCTTTTTTTTGTTTTTGTTTTTTGGTGTTTCCCAAACTTGATATAGTTTTTTTGGAAAATATATTTGAACTGGGTTTTGTTGCTTGCTGATGATAAACAGTAACATATACTATATCAATGACAAATTGGACAAGAGGACATGGACATACATATTTGGAGCTTGCTGTGCAACCACTGTGTTCATACCATCTTTCCACAACTACAGGATTTGGTCTTTTCTAGGCCTTGGCATGACCACATACACTGCTTGGTACATGACCATTGCAGCTCTTGTTCATGGCCAGGTAGTAAATTATGTAAAAAATATCGCACCGGCACTTATATATATATTGTAATTTTGAACTTTTGATAGTAATATTTACTGATATATCGATTGATACTGTTGGATTTGATTTACAGAAGGATGGTGCGACGCACTCGGCTCCGACAAAGCTGGTACTGTATTTCACCGGAGCCACTAATATACTATACACCTTCGGTGGACATGCTGTCACAGTGTAAGGTTTTTTTATTAGTGCGTGTTGATATATGCCTTCGTTTGGGGTTTAGGATTAAAAAGTTATTGTTTGGGATGATTTTTTTTTTAAGAGCAAAAATAAAGAATAAATTATAAATACATTTTGAGGTTTGTTTAAAGTACAGATTATCTTTATAATTTGAAAAATTATAAATACCTCATTGGTAATATTTTTTATTTAACAAAATTAACTAAAAAATAAAATTTATAATTGTTCTCTTATATAATAATAAAATTATCTAAATTATTAATTGAAATATATTTGTAATATCATTAAAAATTGTTAATTGATTTGATGATTTATTAATAAAAAAGATGATTTGTTATGAAATTAATAATTTTAAAAGGTAGAATGTAATTTTCAAAACCACATAAGTGATTTGTATTTTAATCAAAATTCAAGATATATTTATAATTTATATAAAAATAAAATAATTATAATTTAAATATAATATTTTATCTTATTAATTTTTTAATTTATTTTTTTAAATCTTTTTATAATGAAAAAAAAAGCCTTCGTCAAACCTAGCTTATATGTATCATACTGTTTTATCTTCTTCTTCGCTTCAATGGGGCTTCTGTTTGCAGCTTTTGCCGGCCACCTCGGGGTTTGAGACCACAGACAGAATCATAGAAACTACTTTTGTTTGTTTCCTGGGAAAATAACATTTTCCCCTCCATTTCCCTTTTCACCCCAAAAACAGAAAAAAGAAAAATGAGTCTTGTTTTTACTATCATTAGATCACGTATCTAGAGATAATTTTATTTTAAATAATTAGAATTGCAACAAAATGGGAAAGAGAAATTTGGAAGTAGAAGACTTTCGGCGGAAAGTTGAGGGTCTTTTGGTCATTTTCTAAGTTTCATGTATTGTTCATTGCCATGACTAGAATCCAATGAACATGCTTTGAAAATGTCTTGGATCATTCAAAATCATTACTGTTTTCCCTAGTAGGATTCATTTCTATTTCACTTTGTGATTTTTTATTTATTTTATTTTAAAGGTTTTTTTTTTTTTTTTTTTTTTTTTTTTTTTTTTTTTTTTTTTTTGGTTTTTTTTTTTTTTTTCAATTGCAACAAAATGGGAAAGAGAAATTTGGAAGTAGAAGACTTTCGGCGGAAAGTTGAGGGTCTTTTGGACATTTTCTAAGTTTCATGTATTGTTCATTGCCATGACTAGAATCCAATGAACATGCTTTGAAAATGTCTTGGATCATTCAAAATCATTAGTGTTTTCCCTAGTAGGATTCATTTCTATTTCACTTTGTGATTTTTTATTTATTTTTATTTTAAAAGTTTTTATTTTTATTTTTTATTTTTAATTGTTAGGATTGTCCTATTACTTCACTACTTTTCATAAGCTATACACTATTTCTTTGATAGCGAAAAGAGTAAAATTACATTGAGACTGTTTTTGTCGACTTTGATTGTTGTAAAAATAACAATATTGATCTTGTCAGCATGATGATGTAAATTTTGCAGAGAAATTATGCATGCAATGTGGAAGCCCCAAAAATTCAAGTATATATACTTGATCGCCACACTATACGTTTTCACACTAACACTACCGTCTGCTTCGGCCGTCTATTGGGCATTCGGCGACGAACTTTTGAACCACTCCAATGCCTTCTCCCTCCTCCCTAAGACTCGATGGCGTGATGGTGCCGTTATACTAATGCTCATTCACCAGGTCGACTACTATTTTTAACGAATTAAACAGAGTCAGTCGTAAACTGTGCAGTTTCTTTCATTTTAATCAATGATATTTCAATTGAGACTCACAATAATGTATTTAGCCCAAACAATTTACCTCATAACAAGTGTTGTTTGTGAACTAAAATGGGTGCTTATGTGTGTTTTGCAGTTTATAACATTTGGGTTTGCTTGTACACCATTATACTTTGTTTGGGAGAAGGTGATTGGAATGCATGACACAAAAAGCATATGCATGAGGGCACTAGCAAGGTTGCCAGTGGTGATACCAATATGGTTCTTGGCCATTATCTTCCCATTCTTCGGGCCTATTAACTCCGCTGTTGGGGCTCTCTTGGTTAGCTTCACCGTCTACATCATCCCTTCTCTTGCTCATATGCTCACTTACAGAAAGGCCTCCGCCCGCCAGGTATCTTCAAGATTTTCCCTCTCGTTATCTCAAAAATTTACAATAGCTGAATTATTAAAAAATTTGGAATACCAAAATTTCAAAACATAGTTCAATTGAAAAAAATTGAAGATGGAGTATCTTATTCTCTCTCCTCTCTTTCGCTCTCTCTACCCAATTATTTAATGCTCCTATTATAGCCTTTGTCGTGGTCCATCCATTCAGGCATAATCTGTAAGGCTTTATGAGCCATCCATGTCAATTTACAGAAATACCCTTTTGATGATTCTTCTGCGGACTTTTTCATGGGTTGGTAATTCTGTGATAATCTTGATTCACTAGGGTTGTTTTGGTAATTTGAGGAATTAGTGGACACCCCGGTTTTGTTGGGGATTCCCATTCCACTGTGTTGCTATGCTTTTTTTTTGTTTGTTTGTTTTGAACGAACTGTGTTGCGTTGCTATGCTACTATGGTATCTATGCCAGAGAGAGGAGAGAGAGAGTACAAGAGTACAATAGCATTTAAGTCTTGGATTTGGAAATATTGCTGGATAGGTGGGGTGTCCTTTTCATTTTAGTTATATGCTGCAGTCTTGAGTGTTGTATTATGTCTGAAATGAGCTGGCGTAGTTGTTGACTCACTTGTGGGAGAAATTATTTATTGCTCCGAGAATATTTTTTTTTTTGAATGACATTGCTTCAAGAATATTGCTCCACGCATTTATGTTTAAGTATTCAGTTATCTTTTTTAAAAAAGGACAAATAAATAGTGACACTCACTGTTTTAATTAGGTTTCGTTAGGTAAGTGACTATTTTAACAGTTAAAAAATTATTAAAAAAATAAAAAATTAATAATTTATACTTAAAAAGTTAAAGGTTTTTTTTTTGTCTACTTTTTGTACTTTTTTTCGTAAAAAGTTAAAAAGTTATTACAAACATATTAGTTTTTTTGCCTTATATTTTCACTGAAAAGTCAAAAAGTTACTAAAATAACTTGTCCCCAAACGAGACCTTAATGCTATGTTTGGTTGAAAGATTTGGTGAGGGATTTAGAAAGGAAAAGGGAAAAAGTTTGTGAAACTAGGTGAAATATAAGCATGTTTTATTCACATTTCACTTACCTTTTCCATTTTATTTTTCAAATCCTCTCTCCAAATCCCCTAATCAAACACAGCATAATTATACTTAAGTCAAGACATCATTTAAATTTGTCTTTGGACAACAAATAATTATAAAAATTAAAAGAATAATCTAAAAAAGCACAGAGTTAAAAAAAAAAAAAAAAACAAACTTATTTGGTGCTGCTAAGCCAATATCCGATTCCCTCCATAGCCACACGATTACACAGGCCTCTCTTATACAATGAATCTGAGGTGATCATGGAGATATTAGAATATTGTCTCAAGTGCATCAAACACCCTCTCCCAATTTCGACTTATTTACCATTTTTTTTTTTTACATTAATTCTAAAGATTTCAAAATCGGCTAGAAAATAGGCAACAAGAGTTGAACAGTCTCTTCAGTGACAGTAGTCTTATCGTCTAATTAGTGATCACTATTATTTTTGTAATTGATTATTAAAATATAACAACCTAAAAGGAACGAACCTAAAGTGTGTTTTAAATTGAACCATTTGATTGAAGTGTGCCCGAAAATTACTTGAACTTGCCTTTGAATGAATTGCAGAATGCGGCAGAGAAGCCTCCTCCGTTCTTGCCAAGCTGGACCGCCATGTATGTGGTGAACATCTTTGTGGTTGTCTGGGTCTTGGTGGTGGGTTTCGGGTTTGGTGGATGGGCTAGCATGACCAACTTTGTTAGACAAGTTGACACATTTGGGCTCTTTGCCAAGTGCTACCAATGCAAGCCTCCCGCACCCACACTCACACCCACACCCCCAAAACACTGAATCAACTCGCCTCCGCTCCATCGAGTTCAACTACCAAACTTTTCTCACCATATTTTTGTATCATACATGGGGAGGTAGCAATACTTCCGCTACATGTGATGTGTGTTGGATTTCTTTTTTTTTTTTTTTTACTTCCATTTTTTTCTGTTAAATTACTAGATAAAATAGTGTGTTGAATTGTGATGATTCCTTTGCTATCGAAGCATAGGCTAATTAAATCTATATATGTTTTAGCTATATATAAAAATATTTTTCTCTTTCTCCTTTATGGTGGAATTTTTATAATTATATAGTTGTTATATAGCTTGCAATGTCATTATTACTTAGCATGTTTCGAAAGTGTTTTTTTTTTTAATTTTTTATTATCTTATAGAAATGCAAAAGAGAGTGGTATGGGTTGTTTGAGTTATTTAATGCAATGTGGGCTTTGATGTTTAAAAGTTGGATGTGGACATTTCTAAATGACCCTTTTGACCTAAGATTCTCTTTGAAGGAAGTGGGTCGTGGACCCGCCCCCATTCACATGGGTCGCACGTTAGTCCATTCCACTGTGTTGCTATGCTTTTTTCCTCTCTCTCATCCCATGTTTGATTCTCTCTCTCTCCTCTCTTAGTAACTCATCACATGAGAACATGCATGAACCTCCCTATTGTTTTCTGCTTAATTAATCAACATTTGATTTTCCAGTATGTTCATGCATGTGAAACCAAGACGAACTTAATTTTGATCATCTTTTTCGTAATTAATATTTAATTAGATGAATGAAACCAGTATTAAGGTGTTCTTTTGCTGTTTTCTAAAATTATAAATTAAAAAAAATAAGTGTTTCTAATTATTAATTAGTTTCCACTTCTTTTGTTTTCTTTTTTAGTAGCAGCTGAAAAAGAAATCAAAAGAAGTTTGATTTGTTTCAAATCAGTTAAGTATGTACTGGGACCTTAAAAGCTAATACTTAGCAGAAGCGAAAAGCACATTTTAGCCGACTTTCAAAATTAAATTTTCTTAACTAATTTAAATTATTTTTGCATAATAAGTTGTAAACAAAAATTGCATCAAACAGGAGTCTTGTTTGGTGCAGTTTATTATAAGTTAAAAGTTGATAATCATAAAGCAGAAGGTAAAAGCAACTTTGGCTTTTAGATATTAGTATTTTTAACTTATTTAAGTCTAAATTCTATCTAATAAGTTGTAAGCAGAAACTGTACTAAACAGTCTGATACACATTTTTAAATTAAATTAAGTTATAATTAGCTCATTAAAGTATAATAAACAAGACCAATTTGGCATAGACTCCTAGAATAATAAAATTATAATCAATTCAGATAAGTTGTATCAAATAATAAAATTATAATCAATTCAAATAAGTTGTATCAAATAGTCATAATATAAGCATCCTAATTTTGAGAGTGATTATGAGAAAATAAGTTGTATTACCCTCAAGCCAAACTGAGATGAAATAGTCATCATAGAAATTTAGCAACATTGATCACCCACAAACCCAAGCATCAATCCCTACCACAAAGCAAATATCCTGATCTCCTAATCAACTCCCAAGTCAGTATACATTCAATAGCACAGGTATCATCAATCGGAGAGAAGTTACTGCCCTCACAGTTTAGCCACGAACTATAAACTTCACCCAAGAACCAACATAGATCAACACACCAGACCAAGACCACCCAACCTTGAATTAACATAGCCTAACAAGTTAAGACTAACATCTAATCTGCTGAATATTATTAACAATTTATTTGAATTGTTTTCTCTGTGGGGGTAAAGTCTTCAATTTGGCTGCTGTTATTTCCTTATGTTTGGTAGGTTGGTTGGGTTGGGTTGTTTTAGTTCTGGTTTGCTATATCTGGGTTTGTTTTGTTGGGTGTTTGTGGTTGGTCTCTCACCAACTTCTGATGGTGTGCTAGCATATGATTTGGCGATCTTATCGGTGCCAACCTAATTGGGATTGATTTGGTTGTTATGATGCTTTTTGCACTCATCATTTTTTCTTTTTTTGTTGTAATTTCTTTTTTCATCAATAAAATTATTTTTGCTGATCAAAAAAAGTTGTATTATGCAATGATAAGACTTCGGGTATTATGCAAAGTAAGAGACTACTGACTCAACCATTGGTCAAGTATAATTAATGAAAATCAATCTCACATATAATTAATGAAAATATTATAAATTGCAGAAAGTTTTTTTTTTTTTTTTGCTTGCCATTTGAGGCATCTCCATGTGAAAAACTCAATTTAAAAAGAATTGGCATGTTACCAGAAATAATGTGGAGATCTAAATCTAGTACCTGGGATTATTTGAAAATGTAGTAAGAAGGAAGATAAGACTCATTAATGATCATGATACTAGTTGAGTAAGCAATTCTCCATCTCCCTTACTACTAAAATAATAAGAAAAAAGAAAGGGAAAAAAAAAAACAAAACCACATTGGTTGGGTATCTATGACCATCCCTTATTTATTATTATTATTATTGTCTTTAAAAATGTTTTGTAGCATTCAACTCTGTGTTGGACCAAATAAAAAATAAAATATTAAAGTTATGCACTTAGAAATTTATTCAAAAATTTATTGCGAACAGTGATGAACTACATGTTCAACTTTTATATGGTGAATCCTATACCTTGCATGAATATAAACTACGCATTGCTTTTTCTAAATGAAATTTTCACATCTAAAAAACATTGGTGAAAACAAAAACCAGTATGCACACAATGAAACAAGGTGCCTAACAAATATATATATATATCCCAATAAAAAGAAAAGATAATAAACAAAAGACTTTAATAATAAAGTAAAATAAAGAAAACACACACAAAAAAAAAAAAAAAAAAAAAAAAAAAAAAAAAAAAAAAAAAAAAAAAAAAAAAAAGAAGAAGAAGAAGAAGAGGAAACATTATGCAGTAATGGGGGGTGGGGAGGAGGAGGGCTTGGACTTTGGAAGGCTGCCTTTCCATCCAGTGAAAGAAAAAGAGTACAAAGGAAGTTGACCAAGAGGTTGACAAAAGCATTAGTTTAGCTTATAAAACATATTGTTTTATTTATTTATTTATTTATTTTGGACTACCTTTAGCAAAACACAATGCAAAAGGGATCTCTAAATGGGTATCACCATTTGGTAGGATTGTTATTCAAAGGTTTAACAAAAAAAAAAAAAAAAAAAAATTATACATAAGATAACACTCTATGCTACACTCGTCTCCACTAGATCTATTCCCGGGAGTACCCTAAAAAAAAAGAGCCTATTCATTTTGAATGGACCCACATTCCACGATAATGAATGCAATTCTAGCTGCATTTTGTATATTTTTTTTTTGAGAAATTTACGTGTTTGTAGAAATGCTATTAGATATTGTCAAATTGGAATTTTTTTTTATGTCATTTTTATTAGTATGTAAATGGCAGACAAATTTTTTATATTAGATTATATTTGCAGCAGTTTTAGGATAGTGGCATAACTTCCACTCTCTCATTAAATTTTTATTTATTAATTTTTTTTTTTTTTATTTGAACTTCCACTCTCATTATATATATGCAAATTCATATCACTGTGAACATTTACAAGAGCCATAGCCTCCTCATAAGGTTCATATAAATTTCAAAATTTTCAGTCTGATATTGCTTTTCCATACCTAATCGTGATTTGTCTACACTAATGCTCTGCTGACTTTATTGATTTCCTTGTAAATTAACCAGTGTTTGATAGCAAATACTGTCATTCCCTACTTTAAACAAGATCGAGATTTGATTAAATGAATTGGTATAATATCTTATTTTTTAAAAATTATTCAAAATTCATCTATGTAGTCTACTGACTTCTATACTCATTTCTGATTGTTTTTACATTGAATTTTTCTAAAATTTTAACATTTGTATTGCACCAAGGATCCTCTAGAGTGAAATTTTCCTAAAGTTTCCTAAAGTGTTACATTGTGTGGTTGAGATTTACTAGCAAGTCACGTCAATTTTTCTGATGTGACTTGCCAATAAATCTCAACCACACAATGTAGCACTCTAGGAAACTTTAGGAAAAAATCACTTTAGAGGATCCTTGTTCTTTGTATTGTAGTCAAGTCTTAGGTGGGGCTAAATTTCTATCCTAGATTATTTATCTCATTTTGTTTCTCTCCAAACCTTGTATGTTATCCGGCCGTATGTATAAAAAGTATTTGATACTTATCTCTATTTTGATTATCTTTAGGTTCATATATACCCCCTTTGAGTATTTTGTATACAAATTATTTTTTGGTAGAAAAAAAAAAATGAAATTATAAATAATTATCAAGGATTGTATAAATCACCACCAATAGCAAGTAACTATTGAAAAACTCACCGTCTGGTCCTAGTGACCAAACTTATTTACCTATAAATCATACTTATCAATATCTTTAAAAAAATGTCAGGACCAAATAAGACTCATTGATACATTACAAAACTTATAGGTATTTAAGTAGGACTATTTATTTAATAATATGGGCTGGACTTCCAAATTCTTTACAAAACCAGCCCAAACAAAGTCTGGATAATTCTTCCAGCTCCATTGCATGCCCGATTTTAAGTCCGGGCTTAACCAGTTGGGCCAGTTTTATTTTCACACCAAAGTAGTATTGGGCCATGTTAACAATATCATTGGGTCATATTAACAAATTATCAGTAGTTTATAGAAAAAAGTAGGACTTGTTGGATTTTTTCCTTTTTAAGTTAAGAAAAAAGAAGAATAAATTACACTGATAAAAAATGTAATAAAATTTATAAATTTGGCATAATTATATTGACATTTTTTTTAGTAGATTAAAGTGAAATGGTTTGTAGCCACAATGATAAACTTGGATAATATATTCGTTTTAATGTAAAAAAAAAAAATACAATATTAATTTTTTCCATCTAACAATTAATGAATTATTGATAAGAGTGGCAAGTGTTAGTTCGATTTTTTTTTTCTAAACCTCAAGGGAGATTAGTGTGATTTACACAAAAAAAAAAAAAAAAAAATTAACTTATCAAATTTATTAACTACTGTCTTGATTTTGGTTAATTGGGAGGACATTAGGGTTTTACTTATCAAATTAACTTATCAAATTTTCTGAGAGGCTTGTATTTTAGATTAGTAAGTTGAACAAAAAATAAAATAAAATAATTTATTAAAAGAATAATTTTTTGTTGGAAGAAAAAAAAAGAAAAAGAAAGAGCATTTCAACAACCAAACATGTCATGCCATACACATGTTTGGAAATTTAGGAACGAAAAGAAAGGAAATA